AAAGTGGAGAAAGATGGGCACGGATATTAGCTCAGGGCCAATCTTCCTCAGCAAAAAGAGGAGGATTGGCATGGATGTTAGCTCTGGGCTGATCTTCCTCACAAAAAAAAAAAGAAGAAAGAAAAGAAAAAAGAAAGAAGAAAGGAAACACACACAAAAAAAGCCTCAGTCAGTGCCACTGACTAAAATTGTAATAATGTGGATTTGGTTAGTTCATTTGAAAAAATTGGGATTCACTTTATGGATTTTTTCATGAATACTATTGTTGGAAAATTAGATTCATCCTTTCTGTCACAGTGTCACAGGTGAGTCAACATTTTACCCCAAATTATTTATTTATCATTAATTCTCATTCTTTCAAAAATTTTGAAATATTTCACTTAAGTTTGCGGGACTTTTTCAGCTTGAATATTTTTTAAAATATTTGCTAGTTAATAAATGTTTGATAATAATGAATTTAATAAATGCTTCATATTTGCTTATTGCTCCAGAGCTGTATTTCCCAGACTTCAGCTAAACTTGCATGTTACCTGTACTATTACTTAGTTAAAATTTTTCTTTAAATTCATTTACTTGTTTATTTATTCATTCCACAAATATTTTTTTGGACACATGTTGTATACTAGGCACTCTTCAAGCCACTTTTTAAATAACTTCTTCAGTCTTATTCTATGGTATAATATATATGAAATCTAGGTAAAATGTTTTTTGTATTTTTCTAATATACATTTACATGAATATATAACTATTAAAAATGTTTAAAGGTCTGTCCATGTTCCACCTAAAATAATTTCACATGCCACCAGTGGCACTTTGGGAAAGACTGCTTTTGTGCTTACAAAGCACTTCATGTTCCTTGTCTTTAGATTCTGTCAATGACCCATAAACTTGTGCACGATTATCCCCATTTTACAAGTGAGAGATCTGAAGCTCAGAGGAGTAGCATTCCTAAGGACACACATCACAGGCAGTTAAGCCAGGCCCCAACCCTTGTCTCCTGACTCTAAGCCTAGTACTTTTTGCATGATACCATTTCCCCGAAACAGGAGCTGATGACGTTGTAGAAATGGGGTGGGGAAGTAAAGAATGAAAATTGTGACTGACAGCTTTGCCTCATCGCTAAGTAGCAGCAAAGTAATCACCAAGTGATTTAATCCTGATATTAGGATTAAAGTCTGCAGGAAATTTTGACATCATCTCTAGTTAACTGGCTCTATTCAAAAGTGATCTAGGATCTTTGATCCAGTTATTCTAATATATGCTGTACCTCACTTTCAGAGGGTCAGTTTGGCTCTCTGAAAGGTCTGGGTCTCCTTTTGTCATAGACTTTAAGTTACTGATGAGATATACTACAAGCTACTGTGCTGACCCCAAATCAAACTTAATGAAATTACCAAATGTTTAGTGTGTGCCTTGTGAACAAAATAAGCAAACAGAGATTCAGACTTGTTCAGAAAACTCTTAAACCTCCACCATATAATAATGTCTGGCTCTATGGGTATCTTTCTAACCTGACTGAACAGGCTATTGGACTATTTATGTCAAAGAATCATTGTATCTAAAGAATTCGAATGAGTGAAAGAAGGGATTTAGGAGTAAAAAAATATTCAACATATGTGTATATTTATACCTGAGGTAATATGTGAATCATAAATACATATAAATTCTAGGTATCTTTTTCTAATTCTTAAATAATGTGTGTGCAAAGAGTTATACCATGATGGTCATTACTATTAGCATCATCGTTATTAGAATGAGACTATGTGGGCAGATTATAGTAAAGATACATTAGAAAGTCCTCCCCCAGTTTATCACCAAGATGGGAGTTAAATAATTCATGGAATTCCTGGCTTGTGAATGTACAGGAATATAAGATTATAACTACAGATTAAAGTATTAAATGTCTTATTACTTGCTCCTTCAGTGTAAGTTTTATAAAAAATATTTGTGTGTTTAGCCTTTTTAATGTTATATTTATGTATTTGATTTCTCAGTACTTTCTTCATTACAAGTTAGCTAAATAATTTATCAGGTAGTGTTCATTAAATCATTAAATATGATTTCTATATGACTATAAATTGAATTTATTTTGTTCTTCTCTGATACTATTTTTGGGGGGATATCTTTAAAGAGTTTCTTGAATATTGTGTAAGTGTATGACTATTTCCCCAGAAACAACACATACTCTTCATGTATTGAATTTCACAATACTGTAGAGTACTAAAACTCTGAAACAAAATAAACATTTACCTCTGGATATGTATGATCTTGTCATATCAGAAATACACAGACGTGTATCTTATTTATATTTAGTTTTGGAAAGCACCATCATTGCTTTCTCTGTCGAGGTCATTGAATCCTTTATAAATAATATACTTCATTATGAGAGTACCGTACAGCCTTAGAGGCAAATTTCAATGAAGAAATCATGGTAGAGAATTAGTTCAGAAAAATCACCGGAAAATTATTCAAGCATAAAAAATTTTTGAAGGTGAATTTGGGCAAGTATTATCTAAATTTCTATAAAAATATAATTTGATTTAAAATAATGTGACCTAATTTTTTGAGTATGTCTATGTGTGCATACATATAGATATATGTGTGTATATATATATGATAGAATATCTGTAAAATGACTATATTTCTACATATATTGGAGTTGGTATGGTGGAGAGAAGTTGAGCACTTTGGAATCAGACCCAAGTTTCAATGCTGGCCATGTTACCTAAACTCACTAGTCCCATCTGTAAAGTAACAAAAATAATACTAGTTTGCAGTATTACCATATTAAATAATAAAACAGTGCCTTTTACATAATAAATGCACAAGAAATGTTTTTACTGCCCCTTATTCCTTATTTAATTAAAAATAAAAATTGAAGATTTAAAAAAATAGTTTGGGGGGCTGGCCCGGTGGCGCAAGAGGCTAAGTGCGTGTGCTCCGCTGCGGCAGCCCGGGGTTCACTGGCTCGGATCCCGGGCTGGCACCAACGCACCACTTGGCAAGCCATGCTGTGGCAGCATCCCATATAAAGTGGAGGAAGATGGACACAGATGTTAGCCCAGGGCCAGTCTTCCTCAGCAAAAAAAGAGGAAGATTGGCAGATGTTAGCATAGGGCTGATCTTCCTCACACACACACACAAAAAATTAGTTTGACCTAACTTAGTTTTTTAAAATTAAGACCAGTAGGGTAAGTTTTCATTGTGGCATCTTGCTTTGTTTCACTGTGAATCTGCTTTCTGTTCCTGCATCCGTCTCTTCTGATATCTCTCCCTATACCCGTTTGTGTCTAACTGAAATTTATGTAAGAGGAGAGCTTCCTTCCTGCTGCCAAGAAGATTATTTAAATATAAGTGGAATTAGCTATAAATTACATAAATGTAATGTGTGAAATATACTTCACATTCTCTTTGTGTGAGTGAATACAAGATGGAACCTCATTTCTAACATGAAATGTGAAAATGTATGCAGACACCCTTTTTTTTTTTTAAATAATGCGTGGATATATTCCTCTTACTTAAGCTTTTCTAGTCATCCCAATAAGACACTTTTCTTCATGGTTCCTGTAAAGGGTTATTGGAACAAAGTTGTCTCTTGTTCTGGCGCACAATAGGTTGGGTATTCCCAATGAACTTGTGTATATAAGATATTTGGATCCTTTAGGAAAAAATACAAAAATCATGAAAAGGAAAATGTTTCCATTATTTGACTGTTTTTCTCATTGAATAATTAGAAATGCTTGTTTTCAGACTTGATAATGGAAACCCTGTGTTAATCATTACTGTATACTAGATTTGAAGGAGTCAAAGAAAAATTATTTATAAATGATATTCATGAGTCAGGAATAAAGACAAAAGTTAATAATAATTTTCTTGCTTATTAGTGTTTATGTTCTTACCCATGAGGCATTTTGGCAACCTCTGAATTTTTATATAAAAGTAGCGTAGGGTGGTGAGAAAACAGGGTTAAGTGATGGCTGGGGTATTTGCCTTGAAGCTGTGTTTATATAGCAAGCAACACTGCTTTTACTTAGATTTTTTTTTTTTTAAGATCAATAAAAATAGCAATGTTTTTCTAAAGGTGTTTTTATTCACAAGTTACATACAAGTTTTCCTATTTATTAATTGTTTTTCTTAGGGGATGTGGCTTGGAGAACCATGATAGAGATTACTGGGGGCAGGTGGCAAAGGCCATACCTCCCCACCCCCAGAAATCCCCCAGCCACCATTTGGTGGCTGCACTGTGATGAGGGAGAGGCTTCACCCAGGCTGGCAGTGATAAAGCAGACCAGGAGGGTCTGCTACATGCCCATCAGGTGTAGCAACACCCCTTTCCCACAGCAGTAAGGACTATGTGTGGACTACTGCCCCACTAGTTTTGTGGCCTCTGCAGAGCCTAACACATACTAGGTAATAATAGCCACTCTATGCTTGGCTAAGTGTTCAACATGACTTGCTGCATTTTAATTCTCACAGCAATTCTAGCAGGAAGGTAGGTATTATTGTCCTCATTTTAAAGAGGAGGAAACTGAGGCTCAGAAAATTTAAGTGTTTTACTCATGCTAGGAGGTAAAGAGGTCAGATTCAGACTTCCATCTGTTGGCTCCAAAGCCCACCCCCTCCCCTAACCCCTGCTCTTGTGCTCCCCTGATGGAAGATAGATTTGCAGCTGAGCATCAGGCAGTGAAGAAAGCAAACCAGGATCTTTGATTTATATGATTTTGTGAATCGAAAGTTATTTAAATTCTAAGTTTTCTTCTTAAAACACTATTTTCAAAATGTTGACAATTTGAAAGCCAGTCTTTCATTTCCATAGATGTTGCAGCTTGGAGCCACGGAATCAACCTCTGCTTGAGCGAGGACAGGACATTTGACAGGATAGTGCAAGTTTTAGCCTCCTCTCCCCCAGCGCAGCACCTGCTTGTGTAGCAGGAAAGTAAAAGCAGTGTTAACAATTGCAGGTCTGGGTAATGTGGTTTGGTCTTCATACCTTCACTCAGGTGGAGCCCGAGAAGTTGAAGACACTAACAGAAGGTTTAGAAGCCTACAGCCGAGCCCGGAAAAGGAACAGAAAGTAAGCACTATTTTTTTTTCCATTTTGTTTTTCAAGGATATAATTTACTGGTTTTCCTTCAAAGAGACCATGAAATCTCACTGATTTTGTCCATCTCATGGCCTGCCTAAGAAGAGTTTAATAGTTATCACCAAAGAGAACTATTATAGACAAGCCAGATTAGCTATTACAGAAATATTTTCTTTTCTTAACAATTTATACTGTGTTGGGATTTCCCTCTCTATCAGTTCTTTCCTCACTCCCTCCATCTCCATCCTTCTCATTTAGTGGGAAAGAAAATATGATTAATATTCGCAACATGTAGCAATTAAATTGTTCTGAAAGCATAGCAAAAGTCTAACCATTTGCAATTCAAATACCTTGGGGGGAGAAACCCCAGTTGTACACATGTAAAAATTTAGGCAGATTAACTGTTAGTCAAAGTAATGGCAAAAAATGATTTTTTCTTGGGGCAGGGGCAATAGGTTTTCTTTGGAGTTGTAACAAGAAGTTGAGCTTTTGGACATTATTATTCAAGTTTTTCTAGATCTTTATATTCTGAGTAAAGGTAGTGTGGACAGGTAGGTAATGTTTGAAACACAATTTCCACTGTAATACAACGTAGTTTTAGGTATCATAACTATTATTTCATTTTACGGTAGAGAAATACAAGTGTGCTTCTGTATAAGTACATGGAAAATTATTTAAAAATATGTGTAATCAACGTATCTGTTCAGTTACTATCATTTTCATTTTATCAACCATCCAAGAATTATGAGATCAGAATGATTAGTAGTGTATCTTGTATAAAAGGCTTATATAATGATATCAATAATATCTGTTAAAAGGCACTCTCTTTCTCTTAGTGATATCTTCAATAATTCTTGCCAGAGGTAAAATTTTAGAACTCAACAAATCTTGGGGAGGCTCTCTTCACCTCACTAGAATGTCTCATAAAAAGATGCCAACTGCAAGGGGAAAACTCCTGTGCCCCTATGTTCAGGACTCCTTTGGAAGGTAGCAAGTTGGCACTGCTTGTGGCAAGGGCCACACTTCCTATGCAGAGTTTAGTAGTAGGATAAGGCCTATAAAAGTTAATATAAGGTCTGGATGAAAGTAAGGAAATTGCAAATTACCTACGTCGCAAATTTGCAATGGGCCATTTGCTATAGAATATTCAATATACTTGTTTATTTGATGTAAAAAATCCCTAAAATCTTTCCTCCAGTGAGGCATGACAGTTAGCTGGATTATGTTCAAAAATATCCAAAACAGAGGTGATAACAAAGAAATGAAATAACTCCTCCAAATATTTAGATATACTGCCTTGAAATGAGCTTTATTTTTCTCATAAATTTGCTATTAAGCAATTTCTGAAAGGTAATGAATAACAAACAGCAATTTAAAAACTTTTCCTTCAAAGCCAGTTTACTCTTTATGGTGAATTTGTATGGGTCCTAAGTGGCATTATCTAAGGGAGGCTCATGAAACCATAAACTTGGACTACAGATTGGAGAGGTAAAAGAAGAAAATATGAAGCACATGTTAGTAAAAACAGCTTTATTTATCATACTGCTGTCTAAATAGACTGACTTGCCTTGTAAATGTCGAGTAGAATACTTTACATTTTGCACATGTCATTTAAAATTCATTATTTTATTCTCCCAATCGCAAGATGGGCCAGAATTACTGAGCCCGTTTATAGATGAGGGCACTCAGAACCAAATAGCTTAAATAATTAGTTGAATGTCGTGTAAGTGATAAATGATGTATTGAACTGAATCATTTATTTATTCATTTATTTAATCATTTATTTATTCCCCAATTTAAGGAGACTAACTTAGCAAAAAAATCTTTGCCAGGCACAGTGCTATAGTCCCTGGAGCTCACTGTTTAGTGAAGGATACAGATCCAGAAACAAAAATAATTAAAATATTAAAATTACAATGACAGCAATGTGTATAGTGTGTTTTGGGATCATGAAGTGACATTAAACTCAGGTAAAAGAAGACTTCCTAAATGAGATGATACCTGAGCCAAGCCTTACACATTACATAGGTATTAGCTAGACAGAAGAAACAAGGACCAAGTTGGGATGGGTGGGATAGTGTTCAGAAGAGATCAAGTGTTGGATCTGGGGAGTCTAAAGTGTCAGATAGGAAATTGTAAGAGACGCAGCCAAAGGCATAAGCAGGAACCAGGTCATGAAGGGTCTCGTAAGGGCCCATAGGATCCTTTATCTTATTGGAAGTGCCTGAGGGGACAGGTGGTTGGATTTTCACTTCAGATATGGCTGTGTGGAGGATAAAGTTTAGAGGAACAATATTAGAGACAGGGAGATCATTTAGGAGGTCATGACAGAAGAAAAGGGAGGATGAGGACTCAAACCAGGAGGGGAGCAGTGAGGATGAAGGAGAAAGAATGTGGTCAAGAAATATTTAGGAGGTAAAATTGATGGAACATCGTGGTGATTGACTGGAATGTGAAGGAGAGCAAGTAATCAAGGACAACTCTTCGGTTTTTAGCTTGGGTGACTTGGTGGGTGGTGGACACACTGACCAAAATGGAGAATACAGGGGAGAACTGTTGAGTGCAATGTGGGGTGCCCATGGGATAGGTTGGACACACAGGTCTGAAACTGGGAAGAAGTGGTATTGGACTATGTAGAAATGGCTGCAATCACACAGAGATACTTTGACCAATTTGAACAGTGGGCTAAGGATTGAACACTGGGGCATTTGAACGTTTACTAGAGATAATGAAAAAGATGGGAAGAATGATCAGAAAGGAGGAGGAGAATCAGGGGGTAGAGGAGTCGGGTGTTAGAAGCCAAAGACTAAAAACTTCCAGGATGATAAAATGATCAACAGAGGTCCAGTAAGACAAGAGCTGAAAAATCTCCATTGGACTGGGCAATTTGGAGGCCACTGGTAACCTTAGTGAAAACAGTTTCCAGTAGAGTGGTGGGTATAAAAACAACGTGGCCGTGTGTTGAAGAGTGAATAAGAAAGGAGTAGAGAGAGCTGATATAGATTATTTACTCTTCTTCCTACCCTTAATGTGAAAAGTTCCTGAAAAATGACTAAAGAATTTTTAAGATAACAAAGATTTGACTGCTTTTGTAGACTGAGGGGAAAAGGAGAAAGGAAGAGCCTGAAAAAGGAGGGTGGCATTTGGAACAAGATGGTTAAGAGGTTGGTTTTTGACTTGAGTTCAAATTCTATTTCCTACCACTTCATAGCTCTACACCCTTGAGCATGTTGCTTAACCACTCGGAGCCTAAATTCTTCATTTCTAAAATGGGCATATTAATACCTACCTCTTAGGACTGTTATCATTTATAGATAATATAAAGAGAGCCTTAGCACAGTACTTGGCAAATGGGAAGTATTTAGTAAACAGTTATTTTTGTTATAAAGATACAGGTGAAACAAACAAAATTATCAGATATTTTTGCCAGTTGAAACATTCTACCACCATATTAGATGTTTAGAATTTTATGTAGTCATTTTAATCCTCAATATCCTGCAATCAAACTGTACAATAAATAAATATCTTTAATCTGATGAGATTATTACTGATTATTACAGCCTAATCACAAAAGAAATATTAACATATTTATTGAAGACATTACTCAGGGTCATTTTGTACTTAAAAGAGGATATACCTTCTTTAAAGAAAAAATTCCATAGCTTTTAGATATGTTATGGTTCTCGTTTAAATGAGGATCAAATCTTCTGTCTATATGTAGATATAAATTTGTTTAGTAACCTGATTTTTGTGAAGCTGGAAAGCGACAAAATGATAAAATAAATCACACTTTCACTTTAAAACCAAGAAATGATACTTAGTGTGTTAAATTTTCTTAAATCTGCATACTTTCTCTGCATTAGGTTTCAGAATCTAAGATTCTTGACATTTAGGTCTGACCCAGATTTGTTTTGTTCTACATGAAGTGAGTTGCTTAAATTCTAAATTGACTGTAGACTAACATGCAATTTCTCATTTCCCTCTTAGTTCTTATACCATTCATAGATGTGTACTGGCTTTTTTTTTTAATTAGTGAAGATAAGGATAATGTGTGACAATATAGGCAATGAAGATGAGAAGAGGCAATTATCTCCATTAAGAACTAGAAATGTGATTATATGAATGTCTATTGCTTAATCAAGTAGGTTTTAGAGTGTCCATTAGTAAAAATGTTTATTATTAAATGTCAGCGGGGAATATAAAATAGTAGAAGAGACTCCATGGGGAGGCCTCTGGACTGGAAAACTGAATTTTGACTAATTATTCATTTCATGAACTCATGGAGCTTTTTCTTCCTCTTTTAACTTCATTCTTCCCTGACCTGACCCATTACTGTAAAAATTGGTCTGCAGATTTGACATCTGGAGAGTCTCTCTTTACCTCTTGATTCTCATGATATATTCAAGCAATTTCATGCCCTACATCTCTGTATTTATTCTCTCTTCTAAAAGTAGTCATTTCTCCCTCTATTAACTACTTAAGTTTGTTAAAGGAAAAACGTTATATTATTTTAGCTTAAATTAATACAATGTGTTTACAAACATTTTAAGTATCTTGTTGAAGAATGAGATCACAAACTCCTAAAATTCTATCTTTTCATTCAATAAGTAATGTTGAATTATTTTTATACTTTAATGTTGATTGCAATTTTTCATAGTTAGGGACAATTTTTTCATGACTATATTACTTTTGAAAACCTTTTGTAGTTAAATATCCATCTTCTTCATTACAAAATTGGAATTGGTTTTACCAATTCTCCCTAAAAAGTCATAAAGTATTGCATACAAACAGTTGTCATAATACCTACTTCATAGAATTGTTGTAAGGATTAAGTGATTAATTATTGACAATTCTTGGCACGTAGAAAATTTTCAATGAATAGTAGCTATTTCTGTGATTAAGATAAGGTAAGAGAACCAAGATTCTCTGATGGTTTTTCATTGAAACATTTTACCTTCTTTTTAGACATTAGACATTTAGACTACATTTATGTAGTCAATTTTAAACCCATAAGATATTATAATAAAAGTGCGTAACAAATATCTCTTAAAAACTTATGTTCATACTTTTAAATACAAAAGAAATAGTAAGGCTAAATCTATTTAACACATCATACAAGGTGTAATATTGTCAGGCAACGAGGCAATGTGTAATACCGTCACGACCTTTGCCAAACAGCCTGCAAAAACCTCAGCTAAGCTTAGATGGCCCTGCAGAGCCCTGGGATTGGATTCCCACCCCATCACCCAGAATTATGCTTAGCAAACCCCTCATTGAGAAAACAACTCAGACTGACTCCACAAGACACCTAGGGCCTCTTAAAACCGGAATCGTTAGGTAAATACAAGACAGTATATGGATACGTTGTATCAACTTGGACAGTGCTCAAAAACAGTGATAAGGGGGAAAAAGACAAGTTGCAGAATGGTGTGTATATCAGAACACATTTTGTTTGTATATATATATAAAAAAACAATACTAGGTACTGTTCATGGGTATATCTATATCTATATCTATCTATATAAAATATAAAAACATACTAAAAGGATACACAACACAGTTGCCTTTGGGGAGGAGGGTGGGAGAGAATGGAACTGAGAATTGATGACAAATGGAAACTTCAGCTTTATTTTTTAAACAAAAAAGACTTAAAGGAAATATGTAATCTATTAACAGTTTTTTCTTGTAAGTGGGTTTGTTAGGAGTTGTTCATTTATTCTATGCACTTTGCATTGTTTACATTTCTAAAAATAAATGGAAAATATAAAAGCTAGAGACCACTTACAGTTCAGCAGAAGGGGGTTGGTGCTGCATTACCCTTGTAATTTAGTTAAAACTAGTACATGAATCTTTCAGTTAAACTGACTTAAGTGCATATATGTTTTCCAAAATATAGGGCCATCATGCTAGCTTTGGACAATTATTTTTATGTAGTAAATATATGGAGCATCCACAGCATGCCTAGCAGTATACTACTCAGGAGTGGAAAACCCAGAGTTCTCCAAGGTTGTACAGTCCTGGTACATGAGGATAGAACCTGCTGAGGGCTGCAGTAAACCCAAAGGCATCATCTAAAAGCATTCTGCTCAAGTTCAAATATGTTTTTAAACACAATGCGAGCCAAACTAAATGGGAGTGTGAGCCAAATTCTTCCACAACTGCACATTTCCAATCTCTGGGTAGATGCTGAGACAGGACTTAACTCTTGAAAAACCATGCTAATAGCCTGTTATGAAAAGGTTTACCTCTGCAGCTTTTCTAGTAGTCGTCATGACAAGAAAAATGAAATGAATCATCTTAGTACTCAGAATAATTGGGTGGTTATTTATATGCATAAAGAAGGAAAAATAAGTTAACAGAATGCACAAAGTGTACATAGCTACAGAGGTGGATAATACGGATTTGCCTGATTTTAGTAATTAGTTTGACAGCTTCCTAGATGTGAGCTTAAATAATGGCAGATGTACCATGTGTGTTATTCAGGCCAAATGAGTGTAACAGAATGCTGAGAGAAGAGAAAAGGTCAGACGAGTGACAGACAGTCTGAGACCGTCATTCTTTATCTGTTCAAACAGTTATGTCAGTTTATTTTGGAGAAAATGTGGTGGGCCCAGGCATGGAGGGAGCCTCAGGTGGGGGGAGTGAGGCTGTTTCCCACCGGGAACAAAAGCGCACCAGGATTTCAGCCTTCACTTGCTCAGCTCCAGAAGCCCAGAGACTCCAGAGAGGGCAGAGGGAGCTCCCTAGTGGCCAGAGCCTGCAGTTCGGTCCCTCTGCCACACAGCCTGGCTGCTCGAGACAAGCCAGAACAAGAGGCAATGCAGGGCAGGCTGGAATCTGGGAGGACGAGTGGCATCTGTGGGACAAGAGACCCACTGCCCAACTTTCTTGCAAAATCATCAGACTGTAGAAGAAGCATGTGGAAGGGGAAAGAATCCGTTTTCCCCAATCACGTGTTCAATTTTTTGTCATAGTTCTGCCACTTGATCATTAATATTCAGTGGTGAGAATCCCAGAGTGTTTTGTCATCTGAATTCCCCAAATGAAAATATAAAATGACTTTCTCTGGTGGAATTGGTAGTTCTGTTTTCTGATTAGGGAATTAAATTGAGATTTTGTTTCTTTAATATATTAATCTGATGTGTTGTTTTCATTAATTCCAGAAGTGGAAAGCTAAATAACCATTTAGAAGCTGCTATTCATGAGGCCATGAGTGAACTGGACAAAATGTCTGGGACTGTAAGTTAATTTATTTTTTCATTATACTATGTTTCTTTGAAAATAAATTGTATTACACTTTTTAGTAAAGTCTCTAATATATTGTCAAGCAGCTCACGTAGCAATACTAAATTACTGGGCTCAAAAAAATACTGTTATCAGAAAAGATTCAAAGTAATTTAAGAAAAAATAACCTAGCAGTATTAACTATGTCTTTTTTCTGAGATAAGTAACTTTTGTTTTTTCCACTTAACATTCTTTTAAAATGCGAGCAGCATATTGAAATTCACACCACAGCTTTCTGCATTTGACTCTGTGAATAGCAGTGGCCATTACTGTTACCTAAATACAGTAATGCAAATTTCACTCTGTCCATAGAACAAAAAAGTGAAATTGAACAATAGAGTCAAGGTAAAGAGTATATAGACCTCTCATTTCCTTTCTCTTGTTACCTAAAAAAATAAAATATTTGGCACAAAATCCTGTTGTTAAATTATTTAACATTATAAACTCTGGTTTTAATGAAGTGGTGTCTACTTTTTCTTTACATTTTTATTGAACTGTGCATATAACAGCATTGAATGTGAGAAGTTTAATCATTGTCCTCTAATTCACATATTGGCTAATGTAAACACTCAAAATATAATTTTGGTAATCTCTAAAAGAAAGTGAATTATCTTAAGCTATTCAGCAAAGAAAGGTAATTCACTTTTACTTGACACTTTGTGTTAACAAGGTTATCTGAAACCCATCCAGTGGCTACTGAATGACAGATCTAAGTTATAGATTCACAGAGTGCTGGGATTGGTATGGGCTTTAGAGATTTTGTGATCCAACCCATCATTTCACAGATGGGCGAATTGAGGCCCTAAGATTTTAAATTTCCTGCTAGAATTGTAGGAAAATTTTAATTACAAATTCAAATGTCTTCTAGGGCCAAATACTATAAGTAAATAAGTAAAGTGGGTCAGATACGAGAAAAACAGCAATTTGAGTGGATTGAGAAATGCCAACCAAGATGCACTGGTCAGGGTAGGCTACCTACCAACTGCCTACCAACGCTCAGTCTTAGAGGCTCAACCAAGTGAGCTATTGCTGACTTGGGTCTGGTTCTGGTTGGGGAAGGGCTTGCTCCACGGTCATTCTGGGGCTTCGGTTCTTTCTATATCTAGTGTCCACCATTCCTTAGGGCCTCAGAGTACTCCACTATATCCTTTGTATCCAGCCCAGCAGGTGAGAGAAGAGAATGCCAGGATAGATTTTATGGGCCAGGCCCGAAAGCTCATCACTTCTGCTGACTTTCCACTGGTCTGACCCAATGATATGGCCTTCTTAACTCACGTGGACTAGGAAATGTACTATACCATGTGCCTGCTCAGGAAGAAGAGAAAATGGGTTTGGCAAGCATCTTGCTAGTCTCTGCCTCAGGACACTGGGCCTTTGTGGCCAGCAGGCAGTCGGGAGTGATGAGGACTGTGGCAACATGGGGGACGTGCTCTCTCTAGAAGGAACTCCTTCTTCCGTGCTCCAGCAGATCTGAGCCATATGGGGAATTGTGCCAGTGTTGCAAGATCTTCCCATTTTTCATGAGACACTAGAAGTGTAGAAGTAAAATTTCTCATTTTTCAGTGTTGACAACTATTTTTAAACTATTAGAACACCATATGGTTAAATGAAATACCTTTTCAGGCCACATTTGGTCCACAGGTTACTAGTTTGCAGTCTTGGATAAAGGCTTCTTTCCTCAATTTTAAATAGATTTCAGTTATCGCTCTTTATCAGAGACTAGTGATTTTAAAAATATATATGGAGGGGTTAGGAGGAAGAGGCAGTTTGAGAAATTCATAGATGTTATTTTTGAATTTTAAATATTGTTTTTTAAAAAGCTCTCTGCATTTGACTCTGAATAGCATTGGCCTTTGCTGTTATCTAAATGTTATTTTTAAAACATACAATTGAGCCAACTTACGTTGGATCTTGAGAGCTGATTGTGCACATCTCTTCGTAACTGAGTTCTGTGATACCACGTTGGTGGCTTGAAATTGGCCATAGTGGAAGTATTTACACTACAGAAATTGGCTATGCTAATTTGTGTCCCGCCACGGGGGCGCTGGTTGTTAAGCATTTGCTACATCACTGCCTTGGCCTCATCCTGCCTTTCCTGGGTCTTGACCTTGCCCTCTCCTATCAGCAGCCAATACAACATGGGGCACCTGATCACTTCCCTAGCACCTGCCCTCTGCCCCTCAAAACCATACTTGCTGTCTGATACCTGGCAGTCATGCTCTGCTATTGCCCCACCACTGATCAGTCTGATACACAGCCCTAAATGCTGCTAGTTTCTGCGTTAGTATATAGAGATGAGTTGTATTAACTGCTCTTCCCAGACTACGCAAGCTTAGATCTGCCAACAGATGGTAGTGGTATTCTATTTTCCATCCTGATTCTTCTCACAAATAAACCTTCTTGGGCTGAGCTGTGTGCATGTTCTTATATTCTTTGACCCTTCTTAGTAGTTGTAAAATAAGTCGGGTGATGAAGTAAAGAAGAAAACGTGTTCTGTATGTATTTATCCACTTTTCCAGACTCTAGTGAAATTGGTGATCTAAGGATCTCTGATAGAAAAGGCCTAATTTTTGTCTTAAATGTACAGCAGCGGTAGCAACTGCACATCACATTTCCCATGCTTGATTTTTCTTCAGATCCTCCTTTGTGTTCCACTGTTTTGGGGGTCCACAGAGTATTGCTCTGCTTGTCAATTTCCAGGATTCCTCATTCTCTGTAGTGGCTGTGGGTGCACTGAGATCTGGGGTCTCGGTAAAAATTTTAAATGCCTCAGGATAGCAGTGATTGAAAATGAAAGCTGGAGTCTGTTTTCTACCCTGCTTCTTTGTCAGAAATCATATGGTGTTTGTTATTTCAATTTCTGTTGTTGTTTTTTTTCTTCTGCCTCTTTATTTCCAGGTTCACCAAATCCCACAGGGAGACAGACAAATGAGACCTCCCAAACCCAAGAGGAGGAAGATCTCCAGATAACAGGGACTACTCCACCAATGCGCAGTGTTTATTAAAGGAATGTGCACAGATATATCTGTATATAGGTATTGATATAGCCACTGTTATATCAATATTTATACTATGGCAGATAGTTACCACCACCACAGGGTGCTAAAAGAAACAGTGATACAATATTTTTTTGATCAGGAATGATGATGAATGCTGGAAAAACCAATCAAAATCCCTGAAGGATGAGAGTGATAAATGGTCAAGAGATTACTGAGAAACTCTTTTTTCTATGATACTAAAATTGTGATTATAAGAAATAGTCCAAATGTTTCTGAAGAATTTTCCATGTTGTATATAAAATACAGAATTTCATGGTGATATCAGAAATGTAAATATTGTACAATATTGTCATGTACAAGCGTACCTAATGCACACTTTATCTTTTATTGTACAAAGAAATAGTGTACAAAATTCTTTGGTTTCTATGGAGTACACCTACCAGAGACTACCAGTGTAAAGTGATAAATAAAAATACAACCTAAATGCTTTTCTATGATAATGTAAAAGATGCTGTTTTTGTATCTAACAGCAGAGAAAAGGCATGATGATGTATTACCTGAATTATGACATACACTGCACACCACTGAGTGTCATTTATATTGTCTGTTTGGAATGAACCTTGCCTGGAAGTGCTGGACTTGATTTCGGGTGTCTAGGAAATCAAAACCTTGCAGATTTCTAAAGGGATGAGGGCTCACAGGTCTAAATTAAGAATTCAGAAACTGCAACCATTTGTTGCATATTTTTTTTACCTAAGTTTTAAAGTAGAATAGGTTTTATAAAAAAAAAATCTTAGATGGACTATTTTACTCAGTCATTTCTGTAGTTAATGTGTGATAGCCACCTGTTGAATTAGATAGCTTATGCTGTACCACCGTTGATGCTCAGAGTTGAGTTTTTTGCAAACAATACCTGACAAGATAAAACTTTCTGTTTCCATACATGGAGGCTGGAGCCCCACCTTGAAACCATTATCAGAGGTAAGGTTGGTTAAAATTCAGTTTTTTTGTAGTGGAAAAAATAAATATGAATCATCAAAGCAAGTTTCATATCCATTCATCAGTATTACTTAAACCAGAAGTTAAGGTGGCTTACAAAATTATTAGCAATGGTAATTTTTTATCAGTATTATGTAACATATCAGATTTATTTTATTTAAAGAATTATTTATACCATTAACAGATTCTTATATATATATTAATGTGGCTGAAATGTGCAGGTTAAATCTATTAACCAAATTATTTATATTATATTAAGCAAGAAAAAAAATGTGAAACAAATGTAGAGAGAAAATACTACATTACAAGTATACAAACCTAAAACTGTGAGCCATTGTAAAGTACAAGGTTATTAATAAGAAATGTAGCACAACATCATTTTTCGTCTTTTTTTCACGATTTTTGTGGTGGTGGTGATAACCCTATCTCCCAGGCAACCGAGCAAATTTTCAGGCCTCCAGCCTGACTTCCATTGATGGATTATTAAAAGAAGGGTTCCATTATCCCTTTATTCTTAGAAGCACCAGCTCCCACCCCCAAACCCTTAAAATCCCTAGAGAGCGCTGCCTCATCCTCTAACCTGGAGCTCACTCAACAGTTTAATGCTCAGGCTATGCGAGGTTCTCCAATAGCGGGCTCTGAATCCCCAAATGCCCACCACCTCCCTTACTCCTCCTCTCTCATCCACCTCCACAAAATCCTCAGTTCCGTGATGTAGCAGAGTTCCAGTAACTCAGGAAAAAGGAGACCAAGGTCATTCCTCCAGTTGGTTTTTTGGGGCCACAGCAGAGCTCTCCACCTGGGTTCACTTGATAGCAACAGCTCTTAGTTCTTCCCCCAGGTCTCCAGTGTCTCTGTGTCCTTTCCACTTTCACCCTCACCTACCCCCAAGCCTGATGGAACGCAACTGGCCACACTGGGCTTCAAGGCCTGGAGGCAGGAACCCTTCGTTCTGGGGGTAGGTTCATTTTGTCTTTTGTGTAATGGTGTGATTGCCTGCTCGGTCTCTTGTGCAGTCACCTGAAGTAATCTTTTGTGTAGTTTAGTTGACACATTTTTGTTTTAAGTTGATGTGTTTGGTATATTTAACCGTTAATGTTGTCTTTTTTTCTTTTTTGCACCAACTGCTTTTCTCCTGTTTTGTCTACATGGTTGTTTTTATTCACAGATAGGCGCATATGTGTTGTTTGTGTGTTGGGTGTGTCTGCCTATATGTAGGGGGGTATGTGTGTGGATATATAGGAGTTTTTTTTAGCCTTTGAGTTTTTGTCTTCAGACTGAGTTTGTGTTGACCAAGCCTTCTTTTTGATATTTTCAGCTAATTAGTTTTATGCTTCCCCCACCAATGTGTACTTTACATCAATAGACCATGTAAAGTATGTCTGCCCATGGTTTCACTGGTTGCTTACGGCTTTGATGTGGGTGCTAGGTGTTGTTGTCTCAGTCCACACAGGGTTTTTTTCCCTCAATCTTTGACAGTTATATGGTTTCGTGTAAGCAGTTAATGTAAATATTGTTAGCATTACAGGTCATGCAGTGCTGTAACATTTTTTTAAATGTTGCACCTACTTTACAATTAAAAAATTGGTCACTCGTACTTGAATTTTGCCCATAGAGCCATTTCTTTCTCTTTGTATTGAAACCAAGTCATTTTTTAAAAATGAGGGCTAGCCCTTCTACGTTAGTACATTTTTTATTCCCTAAAACAATTTTTTTTTTCCCCAACAAATCTGAGAATGGAAACAGAATGAAAAAATTTTTGCTCTTTTAAAGAACATAATAATCCCTCTTGGAAGAGGAAATCTAATTTTATTTTGTGTCCCTTAACAGTCTTAGGAAGCACAAGGAGAATAAACTACACCTTTAAGTAGTTTTTAAAGATTATTTCAAACGAGTGAAAATTAACTGAGCAGCTCTTGTTTGATTTGTCTTGTTTGTAGCATTAGAAGCAATCAGGGCTTTTATTTATTTAAAGGAACATTTTTGGTTTGTACTTTTCAGTCCGTTATGAATGTAAATGCTTTAAGAAGAATATTCGTCCCTTGTGATATCATGGGCCGTTTTTAGTCTTTCATTTGGACCCTGACTTTGAGTTATTTGCTATGTCTGTTTTTTAAGGAAACGCAACCTTCTTTTTTGAACATAACACTGCAGAATTGTGGGAGGAGCAGAGGGTGGTTATTTTGCTTTCTGTAAGTTTTATGAAGATTCGCAACTGACTTATCCCATGAGGTGATTCCTTTTTCATGTCAGACCATGATAACACATTGTAGTTAACTTCAGTAATCTTCTATGCAGTTTGCAATGTTCCCTTGTAAGTCACAAGCAGTTTTGCATTGAGATTTTAAAATCCAAGATGCTTAAGATGCTGGTGACATTCCTCTTTCTGAAAAGAAAGCCAAGATTCTAGATCTTCCTGAAAATCTGATATCTTGTTTACTTTGCCCATTTATTTATGCCCAAACAGTATAACGCAAGACTCAAGACTTTTCAATGTAGGTTCAATGTAGTGTATAAGATGAGTTGTGCATTACTTGATTCATTTGGGGACTATGAACAAATAATATCAACCAGCCAGAACTGTAATATTGAATTAGTTTTTCTTTTTCATTCATTCACTGTATCACATTTGCATTAGCCAAAGAGATAAGAACATTAGTAATTCACATGTGTCAAGAACCCAGATGTGAATATTAAATCAGTGAGCCAAAAAGCAATAAACAACTCAAGCATGGGAAATCCTGCTACCAGTGGGGAGTCTGATATAGAGAAAAATATATAAAAAGCGTTATCTTCAAATATGAAAGATTAATTTGTATCTACTGTAAATATGTATTATCAGCCTTACCTGCTTTTATACACACTGTGTGTGTACCTCAGTGACCTTTTATAAACCGGAAAAGTGGTTGATTTAATAATTTGTTATGTAAATACAAAGTTGTCTATAAATTGGAAAATTTGATGCCAGATGGCTTCACAATATACAAATGTGTTTTGTAACATCATGCCTTTATGGGTGAAGTATAAATACACTGGATTATCTGTGTAGAAGAGTAGCAATTTACATTTCACCTGCATTTCAAATGGATATTTTTTATCCAAATGGTTATACTCTTAGGAGAAAAAGATGACCTGAATATTTTCAAAGTGAAAAACAAATATGGTTTTGAATTCAGCAAAACTGAAAACTCTTTTTCACACTCAAGAGTCTGTTCAATTCCATGCTAAATGCCTTGTATCATGAGATTTCCATAGGAGATTCATTGATCCAGGACTGGGATCTACATAGGAAACCTCCCTAAACTGAATTATTCTACTTTAGAGACAGACTGTGCCTCTTAATTTCTAAATCTTAGGCAGAGGAAGAACCATAGCCTTCTTATTGCTTTTTAACTTATTCTTTTCTGCTTTGTTTCCATACACATTGGAAACCACACAGATAAACAGGGCCTAGTTCTTGTGCAACAAGGTGTCTACAGAGTGTTACCTCAACTCAGGGCTTCTCAACCTTGGCGCTATTGATCATGCTTTGTTGTGGGGGCCGTCCTGTGCCTTATAGGATATTTGGCAGCCTCCCTTGCCTTTACCCACCAGATGCCAGTAGCATCCCTTCCAAGTTGTAACAATTAACAGTGACTCCTGACATTGCCAAATGTCACCTGAGGTGGGAGTGGGGAGTGGGGCAGGGGTGGGAGACAAAGTGAGATTTGAAAACCACTGCCTTAATGGAACCAGTTAGGGAACATATGTCTGTGTAAAATATGGGCCTGTTTTGCATGCTACAATCACCAGGAAACTGATTCCTAGATCAAAATCCAAAACAAAATCCATGCCAAATGAGTGCTTCTCAATCTGTGGTTAAGGAAGTGAGTACATTAGCTTCAGTTTCATTTTGAACACATTTGACACTTTTCATCATAAGACCCAGGACAACCATGTTTGAGAACTCCCAGGTAGGGCTTTGGAGAGTTACCCAAATACTGTGGTTCAGAGTTTGCAAGAAGACCGATAGCCCATTTTGCTTAATGCAAGGAGCTTCAGATAGTGGAAGGCTTCCCAATGATAGTGTACCTGCCTCCATTGGGTCAAGATGAGGAATTTGGCCAAGGGGACCATGTTATGCATGTATTTTAATAGCTCTCTACAGCAGCCTGGTTCAGGTATCAGTAGTTTTTGTGTGATCCTCTTATAAGTTCTGACAGAATCAGTTCAGTAGATCTTGGAGATGTCATCGATATATTTATTCATTCAATAAATATTTCTCGAGTCTCACTCTGTGCCACACGCTGTGCGCAGCAATGAGGATTCAATAGTGAATGAGACAAGCTCATTCTCTGCCCTCACAGAGCTGCCCAAGGAGGTGCCAGTTAAACATGTATGATAAAGGGTGCTAAGGGCTGGGATAGAGGAGCACATGGCAGGCCCCAGACTGGGTCAGTGGGGGTGGGGCTTGAGTGAAGATCAGGGAAAGACGAATAGGAATCA